CTGATGAAAAAAAATGTTCAAGATAGAGCAAACAGACAATTTCCTCACAGAAATGGTGTAAAATTAGACTCTGGTATCTGGGAGTCATCTTAAGCTCTGAGCTGGGATTTACATGACCAGTCTTGTGTTTTACTAAGCCGACTCTGGTGATGACGAGCATGAAATGTAGGGCAACTCGCAGTGAAGCTAGCACTTGTTGCTAAAATACAAATCTACAACACTCCTCGGATTTAAAAATTTCAGTCGCTCTGGACAGTCTATGTTCCTTAGCCTAGAAGCAAAACACCTCTTGATCTTTTACAGCCCCCTAACTATTCCTCTGGCCTCATTTCCTGCAGCCAAAGCCTTTCTTGTCCATTATACTCCAGACAGAACAAAGTACTTAGTTATCAATATATACTGTGGTGCTTTCATACATGTTACTCTCCGGAATCCTCTTGTTCTGTCTCATCCGCTACAAAGCCGTGCTCAATTAGATGACTTCTGTAAAGTCCTCCCTGACCTACTCACAATGGATCCCTCTTGTACTACTTCTGTACCTTATGCATCTTAAGCAAATGTCTTATACAATCATTCCATTAAGGAATATCCTGTGCAGATAGTATTTCCAATAAACTGGAAACGCATTTCGTCTCGCACTCTTGGTAGCTTTCCAGTAATGATTATAAAACACTGGGGACAAGACAGTAACACAATGAACCAAGACAAACTAAGAGGACACAGAGAAATAACAATCACGATACAAAAAAAGAAAAAAAAAACATTCAAGATATTGCTCCATGAAGTCCTGCTGTCCATCTTGTGCTGTCTCTCCGCAGTGCTCAACCATGAGCTAGATGAACCTACTTCTTTGCACAACATAAAACTTTCCACAGCTCTAATGTGTTATCTATCATACACATTATGGAATATTTAGCATGAGATCAAATTTCTTAAGTGTTATGTAACTGGTAATACTTAGACTTGTTTATTGCTCTTATGCCTGTAAACTTGATCGTTTTTGTATCCCCAGTGCTCAACATAGTACTATCCACAGAGTGGACCTTCAATTAATGTTTGCTGATCAAAAGTATCTGGAAAAAGAGTTATCAGGACCTGACCAAAGGCAGTGATAGGAAAGAAAGTAAGTAAGGCCTGGTATGAGATACTTCAACACAGCACTTTATGCCCATCATAAAGCTTGCTATATAGCAAGACTCCAATGTTTGCTGATGGGGCACAGGAAGTACGGAAGAGGAAAACATGGAGTGAGGAAGAAGCAGGTTGGGGTAAGGACTATACTTCCTAATGGAAGGTACACCAAACAAAGAGAACAAGACGAGAGGACAGAGCTTGATGATACAGACATTTAGCCATAACATTGGGGAAGAGGCACAGGCAAAGACAACAGAGAAGGAATTACAAGAAGACAGGAAAAGAACCAGGTTGGAATATTCTGGATATTACAAAACAAAATCAAATACACAGAAAAATTAAATGACAAGTACCCACCGGATGTGGCATTTCAAATGCACTACTGTTAAAACTAAAGCAACCGACATGGCATACTCTGTCACTGATTTTGTGAGAAATGTTTACAACTATTTTGTGAAAGTATTTCATTCTTGTCTACACATCTTAAAGATGCGCATAATAATTAGATAGAAAAAGTAAACTTACATCAGTTACACCTGACTTGGGTTATGCTAGTACTTTTACTTTCGTATCGCCTTTAAATCTATGCCAAAATATATACTGCCAACTACCTATTTAAATGAGAGGCTATATTTGAAATATAAACAAACATCCCTGTAACCTTAGACTTGGGAGATCTGAAGTTAAGATATCTCTTGACATAGAGAGACCACTGATGTTGATAAAGCGAAGAAGCAATTTATTATTTTCTTAAAGCCTTACCTCAAAACCTTGTCCCAACCTGCAAATCAAAACTGTTGTGAAATCAAGACTCTAGCTGACTGTGTGCCATGCTTCTGTTTTCAAAGCCCTGCATGCTGTAAGTACTGCTATTGACAAGCCCAACGCCACATCCAATGCTAGTATGAGTGCCATCTTTAAAGCCTTTTCAATATCCCAGTGTAGAGTGTCTATTAGACTCCTCACTTGCGCCCAGTGTTGAAAACAAGCTAAATGTCTAACCCAGTTTAATCTGGGTTACTATAAGTTACTACAGCTGTA